TGTTTCTATACCTACCACTAATATGTCAACATGAACATTTCCTAGGGTGCAGAACATTGCCAGGGGGAATGCCATGAGAGTTACCTTGGGATTTTCCTCTTCTCCAGCAGAAGTGATGGTTTGAGTGAAGAAAAGGGTAACTGAAATGCCAGTGATGAGCTAGTTTTAGCTGAGCAAACATGCCTGTGAACCATACAACCATAAGGAGGAACTGGCCACTTACAATGCTGTCTCCGTGACCTCTATCCTCAGTTCCCCTCTGAGCAACAAGCTGAAGAAAGGCCATTTATTATCAGTGACTGATGCCATACCTACCAGTCTTCCCAGATGTGGAATGGGACATTCCAACATTCAGGGTGGATGGGTTTGTTTGTTTCCATGTTGTCTTAGTTTGGGTTTCTATTGCTGTGAAGAGACACCATTACCATGGTAACTTTTATAAAGGAAAACATTTAACTGGGGCTAGCTAACAGTTCCAAGGTTTAGTCCATTATCATCATGACAGGGAGCGTGGTGGTATACAGGTAGACACGAAGCTGGCTACATCTTAATCAGAAGGCAACAGGAAAATGGTCTGTGTGTTCACACTGAATCTTGAGCATATGTGAAACCTCTAAGCCCACCTCCACAGAGACACGCTTCCTCCAACAAAGAACATACCTATTCCAATGAAGCCACACCTCCTAAGAATGCCCCTCCCTTTGGGGGCCATTTTCTTTCAAACTACCGCACGTGTGTATCAGAGTTCTCGTCTCTGGGCAATAGAAGCACAAGGAGATGACTTCAGGGAGCAGAGAAGGAACCTTTCACTGGATTTACCTCCATGGCTGCTAAAAGCTCTTGCCTCTGGGGACCCCTACATCAGGATGTAGTTTAAAATGTCTCTATCTTTTTTTAAAATCACCAAATCAAGAATTCGGAGTTTCAAATGGGAGAATTTGATTAACTATCTCTAGCTGTCAGGGACTGAGAGACCAAATATGCTCCACAGTGGGAGGGAATATCTCAAGATTCACATAGTGGGGGAGGTTTGCACATGCCCTGTTATAGGAAAAATGTCAGGCATCCAGGACATCACTGCTCCACAGAGCAGCCTCTGTGAACTCTGATGATGTATCATTTCTTTTAAAGGGAGTAAAACCCAGTCTCTCATAAATCCAACGGGGGCAGACTTCAGATTAATATATATTGGCTTGTTAGGAATTTGTATGTAAAGGCTGGAAAAATTACCAGCCAAAACTAAAATATAAATAGCCATGATGTTTTAGAGGTTGTGGTTGAACACAGCACAATACTGGCACTCCCAAGTATTCCTGCTGACAACACAGATAAATCCAGGGAACTCAGCTCTTATCAACCTCCAGTCCCATCAAACATGCAAGACAACTCCACACTTGGCTCCTTCTTGGCCAAGTTGTTCCTACAGAGTTGCTGGGATTGGGCTCCAGACCTGACGGAGCCTTGGTGATGGAGCCAGCACAGCTTCTGGCTGAAGGGGGGTGGGGTGGGGGCTGAGTAGAGAAAGAAGAGCATGCATGAAAAGGGGATAATTTTCCACGGTCCATAATGAGGCTCATAGGGCAATAAATAGAGAGAGGAGATGAGCAGTCGTGCTGGCCTGACTGGAGAGGACAGAGGCAGGCAAGGTCACAGCAGGACATTTTTCTCATTCCACAAACAGTACTAGGAACTCGACAGACAGAAATCATATTTACGTTTACTACCAGGAACCTAATTCTAAAGTGTAGTGATGGAGGAAAGGCCAGCCAGGATGCTTCCCCTTCTCTTTCATAGTCAGCAGAAGCTCTGACAAATAAAAGAGAGGGATTCTTCTACACAAGCAAAGCAACTCTGGAGAGGACACCAGCTGAGTGTCCTCTAATTCGACTTGGGTCTGATGGCGATGCCATAAACATGAAGGTAGAATTCAACCCCACGGGTTAAGGCCTCGGCCCACAAACCTACCTTGCTTCAGATGCCAGTCACAATCAGTGCAGGCTTTACATCTAACCAACTGGCTACAGATTGAGTTTCTCATGATTCCCTCGTGGAGTTTGACTAATGTGATGGTTAATTTGACTGTGAACTTGACATGATCTAGAATTATGCAGAAGACAAACCTCTGGACATGTCTGTGTGAGAGTTTCTAGATTAGGTTAGTTGAAGTGGTAACGTACGCCCTAATGGTGGGCAACACCATTCCATGAGCTATAGTTCCAGACTACATAAAGAGGATGTCTTAGTTAGGATTTACTCTAGCTGTGAAGAGATGCCATGACCACAACAACTCCTATGAAGAAAACGTTCAACTGAGGGTGGCTCCCTGACAGGTTCAGAGCTTCAGGCCATCATGATCATGTAGGGGAGCATGGGAGCGCGCAGGCAGGCGTGATACTGGAGCTGAGAGTCCTACATCTTCAGGCAACAGGGAGTTGACTGTCACATGGAGTGAAGCTTAAGAAAAAAGAGACCTCAAAGCTCAGCCCCACAAGGCCACACCTCTTAACAGTACCTTTCGCTTTGGGAGCCATTTTCTTTCAGAACACCTCAGAGGAGAAACCCCACTAACAGTAACATCATTCATTGCTTCTTCCCCAGATTCTGTGACCAGCTGCCTCAAGCTCCTGCTGCCAAGACAAATGACCCTGAAGCTGCGAGCCCAGATAAACCCTTCTTTATTGCTTTTGTCAAGCATTGTGTTGCAGTATAAGAAGAGTAACTAGTCCACACAATGCACTGCAATGGTTCAGAGCTTGGGGGGAATACTGAGCACTTATAAAGCTTCACAAAATGAACAGTAAGATGGGAGAGGAATGTAGCTCAGGGTAAGGGGGCAACCAGAGTAGCCACATCCTCCATGAACCTCCCTGAGTTCTGCCACCCAGTGATTCACTCAATGAAACCCTTTTGGGGTTCTATAAAGGCTTTATTATACTGATGTGGTTGATTGCATCATTGGCTATTGGTAATCAACTCAACTTTTGGCCTCTTTTCCTTCCCTGGAGGTTGGGAACAGGGCCAGAAGTCCTACCTTTAATCATGCTTTGGCCTTCCTAGGGACCATTCTCCATCTATAGGCCACCTAGGACCCCTGCAACCTCATGATACTTGTTAGCAAACAAAAGGCATTGTGATCAAAGTAGAGATTCCAAGGTTGGAGAAGCCTGTTAGGAAGTCCAGGTGGAACAATCAGATATTCTACAATATCACAGATAGACCTGCAAAGGTACACAAAAGTACATACACAGAGATGCCATATTGAGTGTTGCTCACCCAGTCAGTAAAGCATTTAATGAAGGGTATTGGCAATAACCTACCAGTGGCACTGTTCAATATATTATTGTATGTTCATATTGAAGGAGAAGTACAAAAGTTGTGCATAGAGTTACAACAGTGCTTTTGATACATTAAGTGTGGAGACAGCACAGTGACAGAGACCACGACTCCATTTGTCTTGGTAGTTTTGCTTTCTTTTTAAAGTAGGGTCTTCACGTATAGCCCACACTGGCCTTAAACTAGAGATTCCCCTGCATCAGTCTCCCCAAATGTGGGAACAGCCATTCACCATCATACTTGGCTTCTGTTTGAATTCTTGAAGGGACTGTAAATCGAGTTCTTAATTGATCTAGATAATAAAAAGCCAGAGTCAGATACAGAGGGACATGCTGAGAGCTCAGAGAGAAGGAGCAAGTCACGGCATCTCAGCAGACTAGAGCACACTTTTCTTTTTCTTCCTGCTTATAACCTGCATCTGCCCAGCCACCTCACTTCCTGTCTGTCTGTACAGACCTCCAGACCTCTATGGTTAGCTAGTGGCAAGCTTCATTCTCTGACCCTCAGACAGGCTTTATTTGTATAAGCAAGATATCACCACAAGGGACCTTACCAATAGGCAGGCTGGTGACAGGCAGATGATAAACACATGAATAATAGAATACTAAGATAGCAACTTGGGAATGTAGAAATGGAGGACTTACTTTTTATTGGACTTTTTTTTTACTGTGAGCATGCCCTGTATAATTAAAACTCATTTAAAATGCTGTAAAGTAAAATTTAAGAATAAAATTGATCCCTAACAAGCAGAAAAACGAACAAGAAATGTAACATCTTCCTCAACAGGGTTGCCTCCCTGCTTGAAGTCCCAAAGAGGAAATTGCCTGTCTCAGATCACTACCCTGAATGTTCCCTAGAGCCTGGCCTAGGATCAGCTTTGGTGAGAATTTGCCCTGATTCTCGCCCAATTACTGTGGGACTCAGGCAGAAGGACCTTTGGGTTTCCTGCAATAGCCAGGCTCCACATGTGGCATCTAAGAGGTAGAGACTCCCATGTCCCCTCAATAAAAGCCAGTGGTCCTTAAAGCAGGAACTAGAGTGGACCAGACTTGAGTGGTCCTGTGATGATGATGATGGCTGTTCATAATGGCTATGAAGCCAGCAGTTAATCATTCAAGTGCAAAGAATGAACAAATGATACTAATGCCCTAAGTGACTATTCTTGTTCTGGTTTCCAGCGAGCAACCCACTGATGGCCTCTAATGAAGCTTGGGTGACAAGAGGAGTGTAGGACAGGCACCAGTTGACAGAAGGGTATCAACAAAAGAGCTCTTCCTAACTTCCCGTCCACGCAGGAAATTCTGCTCATACCAGAGCCTATGGAAACTCAGCCTCCAGTACCCGCAAGATAAGAACCCGAGGTCTGGTCTACAGAGCTCTCCTTCTCCACCCTGGGGTGCTACTGCAGGTCGCCCCAACCCTGGATTACCACTTCCCACTTCCCCAAATCTTCCTTTGTTTTCCCCTTTCCTCCTCCAAAGAGCTAACTCCAGCACATTTGGGTGTGGAAAGATAAGCGATTAAGCCCCTCCTCCCCTATCTACAACTCAGTATCAGCATGTGGAGATTCAAGCTCCAGTTTTGTCCTTTTAGTGCAAGAAAACTCCCAATGCTGCGAATCCATACTCGGCATCCCCAGTGACAAGTGTGGCTGGAGAAGGTCCACGATGCCCCGTGGCAGTGAGGTGGGGGTGGGGGTTCAAGCCTGGTCAACACTTTGGCTATGGGCAGTGACTACCAAATCTTCCTGTGCTATAGATTTACCACCATTTCATCCTCTACGTGCGCCACTCAGCTGTCTCGCTGGCAATCTTCCAGTGTAATGCCTGCCACTACCAAGGTGAGAAGGCCTGGTCAACTCCATCCTCAAGAGCTGTCCACATTTGTCAGGGCCTGGAAGCAGGCTTTCTGGCTCCTCTTCCTATGTCACAAAGGGTCTCTTCGCACACCCCTGTAGAAGGTCCCATAGTAGGGTTCCCTCAGACAGCTAAAGGGCAGGTTCTTTGGGCTGTTCCCCAACAGTACTACCCAAACCTGGTCAGGTTCAGCTTGCCTTTTAAGGCTCAGGTCTCAGTGCCTAGAGTCTAGCCTTCAACCTGAAGCACCTGAGCCACAATCCCTGCCTGACCTGAGAAGGTCGAGTCATACAGTCAGGGTCGCCAGGCCGGGTACAGCTGCGTCCCCCCCCCCCCACGTACGCACAAACGCGGGGTCGTCCGAACCCTGTGCCCCGCAGCGTTCGACCTCAGGACCGAGACATCCTGGGCTAAGGTCCCCTTGGCTTGGCGCGTTGCGCTGTAGCAGCGCCCGCCTTCCGCTTCCCGCCTCCTGCCTCGGTGGCCGCGCAGGGTAGGTAGCTGGGGGGACCGGAAGGATGGCGAGGAAGTCGGAGAGGGTTTCCTGAGATGAGAGATTACTTCCGTCCGCGCGCTGGCCTCTCTCTGGAGCCGGCTGGCTGGGGCTCGGGGAGCGGGGTGTGCGGGGCTCGGCCGCGCCTTGCCACCTGCAGCGCCCGGGCAGGCCGCGGGGACCTGCGGCAGCGGCTCACCCGGCCATCCTTGCAGGTGGGAGTCGACAGCATCTCCAAGCGCCCAAGCCATGGTGGCCAAGCAGCGGATCCGGATGGCTAACGAGAAGCACAGCAAAAACATCACCCAGAGGGGAAACGTAGCCAAAACCCTGGTAAGGGGGGGCGGCGCCGGCCGGGCCGAGCTGGCGGGACCCGCGGGGCGGAGCGGGGCGGAGCGGGCGGGCCTCGGGCTCAAGGCCAGGCCTCCCGGCCCCTCCTCCGGGGTCCCGCAGTCTGGGGGACCGGGCCGGGCTCTGGGGTGCAGACTGCTCTGCTTTCTCATGGGCGGAGAGGGCTCTGGTTAGTGGAGCCTTCCCAGGAAAAAAATGGTCCATCGTCCTTGGAAAAGGCTTAAAGCTGCATCTTAGGGTCCAGTGAAGCCAACTGGGCTGGGAGCCTAGTAGGTGAATGTGATGAATAAATGAATGGATGGAAGAACGAATGATAGACTGCTGCTTATCCCCAGGTTCCAGACTCCACCCCTGGACTCTTCCCCACCCCCACACTAAGATTTTTCTTTCCACCTTTCTTTTTCTTTTTTCTTTCTTTCTTTCTTTTTTTTTTTTTTCTTTTTTTTTTTTTTTTTTTTTTTTTTTGTGATGATCTGTCTCTTCTCCCAGTATGTATCGAAAGGGCTTAAAAGTAGGGCGTGAGATTCCGACCCACTTTTCTCTCCGTCCTCCTCTTGCAAAATGAGGCCTCCAGCTGCCACTGGGCTAAAGCTTAAGTGCAGCGTTACTGTTACTGTCTATCATTCACCCTGTGGATTCGGGCTCATTATGATGCTGTAACTGTAGCCAGCTTATTGCCAGGGGTTCTTTGCTCCCAGAACCGTGGGTTACAGCTTTACTCCTGGAATTTTAAATAAACTGTGCACACCTTAGTTGCAGATATTTATTTCCTTCGGTAAACCAGGTTGTCTGCTACAGAAAATGTCAGGCCTGTGACTTTGAAGCATCCGAGGCTTGAGTGGGTCGCGTCCTTGCGAAGAGCTGGCTTGCAAAGGCGCCTGGAATCTATTATCCCCTAAGATTAAGGAGAAGTCCAGCCGAAGCTTGGGGTTTGTCTGGAAACACAGACTTGATGAGGCAATGCTTTTTAGCCAAAGGAATTATGTCGGTTTGATTAACTGAGGGAAGAGCTGGATGTGTAGTCATCACACCGGAATTCTTGCAAAACCAAGCAGAACTGTGACAGAGAAACCAGAACGTCAAACTCCACTCAGAGCTTTATACACAACTCCGGGCTTAAGTAACCCTTAAAATTCTCTCTTTGGGGGGATTAGAGCATTAAGCTGTGATTAAAGAGAACAAAATGCCAAAACATCATAGAATGGGAACCGTATTTTTACGGTTTCCCCTATATGTTTTTTACTGGCTGGGGGCAGGGAGTCACTGCCCGAGTTGACATTAAAAGCAGTTCCTAGGAAGTCAATTCTTCCTTCTCATGGCTTCAGACCTATTTGTTGACATAGTAGAGATATGTAGATGTGGTTCTTTCTGATGAACTAAGGAATCAGAGTTCAGGTGTTAAATGATCTTAGTTGGCAGCTTATGTGAGGGCAAAAGTAACAACACCAGAACTAATTTGTGGGGCTGTTTCCTCCATCAGGCTCTGTAGACTCAACAAAATGTTGGGAACCTAAAACAAAACAAAAATTATTGATTCCAAAATAAATGAAAATGGGGAAACACTATGAAGTGGATATAACTAGACTACTCCAGCTACATTTAAATTACGTTTAATCTGCAGTATAAATGCATTTAACATGTTCTGCTGTTACCATGGATGGCCCTCCTGGTGCCTATGAAGACCTGTAGTTGGCCAGACTAAATTTGTAATGAAAGATTCCCAGGCCCCAATGATGTTTGTTTTCAGTTGTTTTGAGTAATCTTTTGGTAAGCTGTATTGTAAGTAGATCAGCATCCAAGAAGAAAACGAAATTTCTCTTTATAAATCCTGAATCTTGTTTTTCTAATTACAAGTCAAACATGGTTATACTTTGATAGATGTAGTTTAGAAAAGACAGCTAATTCTGGATAGACTTCAGTAAATGGGAACAGATTGGCAAGTTCCCATAGAAAATTCAAGCTCATTGTTCAGAAATCATCCTCCATCCACTGTATATAGATGCTTCTGTCTGTCATGATTAACTAACAGCTCTTGTATACATCGATGTTTTCCTCCCAGATAGAATATTGATACAGAAACAGAAACGGAAGGATTGTTTGGGGATTAGATAGTTGGGTTTCTTTCAGAGTGGAAGGGGTGGAGGGCCTTAAACTGCAGAGTTCTGAGCTGCCTTGCAAAGATTGTATCCAGAAAAAAGATAGCCCCTCGCAGATTGGGGCCTTGTGTTTGACATGAGTCTTGTTCTTTACAGAAGGGCTGTAGAACCATTTCCTTGTCTTTTGCAGCAATAGAATGGGGCTTATGTGAACTGTCTCAATGAGGTTGTACTGGCACCCTTTGCAAAAAATAAAATACAATAAAATAAAAACTCTCCAAAGGGGATGTACTGGCATTAATACCAGCCATGTGCTCCAGAGCTCTGAAAGTCCATAGCTAATTTCCATCCACTGGGAAATGGCTTCCAAAGCACTTTGTTTTTATATACTCCAGGCTATTCAATGATAATTTGTGTTTAACTATAGGTACAAAATACGGGACTCCATTTGGCATCCTTAGTAGTCTAGTGATTCATATAGAGGCTCCTGGATTCACTTATTGGCTTTGCTGGGAAGAAAGCTAAGATAAATCTTCTTATAATGTGCCATGAGTTGCAACAGTGGCAACTCAGTTGTTTTCCTGAGGGAAACTAGGACAGTGAAGTTCGAGAACAGCGCATGGAAGGGTAGATGACAGAGTCTGTTCAAGTGACTTTGTTTAAAAATCTGTTTACTTGATCAGAGCTTGACCTAGTCTTCCATGCTAAGCTGTGGCACAGTTAAGTTCTACCGTGCAATTCTTTTTTTTAATGATTTATTTATTTTTATTTATATGCATGGGTATTTTGCCTTTATGCATGCCTGTGTGAAAGTGTTGAGTGCCCTGGAACTGGAACTACAGGCTGTTGTGAGCTGCCATGTCTGTGCTGGGAATTGAACCTAGGTCCTCTGAAAGAGCATCCAGTTGCTCTTAACTTCTGAGCCATCTTCCCAGCTCTCTATTATGCAATTCATGAATTCTGATTCATTTCTGGTCAAAAGCAACAACCTGTTATATTGTGACTCAGCAAACTTGCTGGGCAAGGCCCAAGAATGAATGGCTTTAATTTTTAGTCAAAATTGACCCGCTGTTGACACATTGATCTCCATTTCAATACCTAGTAAGTGAAAAAGAGGGGTGACTTACCCATTGCTACAAAGTATTACTGAAGGAGGGCTGAGCATGTGGCTCAGTCCACAGACTGCTGCTTGCCTAGCATGTAGGTAGCCTTGGGTTTGATCCTTAACACCACTTAAAACTGAAAGTGGTGGTACACAGCTATAATCCCAACACTTGGGAAGAGAAAGGAAAGAAAAAGAGAGTCAGATCACCATTGTCTACATAAATTGAGAAGGTCTGATCATCCTTGGCTGCACATCAAATTCAAGACCATCTTGGACTAGAAGAAAGCCTGGGTCAAAAGGAAAGAAAGAAGGAAGGTAAGAAGGAAGGAAGGAAGGAAGGAAGGAAGGAAGGAAGGAAGGAAAAGACAGTAATCTTTGTAGACTCCATTTTACCTGACCTATGAAATCACATTTAATGAAACATGCAATATTATTTACTCTTTAATGAACATTTATTATCTTCTTTGTTTAACTCTGTACCAGACTTTGCTATACATTGATGCCTCAAAGAAACTCATCAGCCCTCTGGGGCCTCCAGTATAGTGGAGAGATTGACACTAAACATGTACCCCTAGGAGTCAAAAATGTCAAGAAAGCATACACACGGTCATACAAATGACAGACGAACCTGAGGAAGGTAGAGAGGAAAGGCTAAGAATGTACTAGGTAAGTTGAGACCTATCAAATTGTAGCCTAATCTATAAAAGCATGAGGAATTCCTAACTTTTTTTTTCCCAGTAGTGTGGACTAAGACCAGGGCCTTGTACACAATAAGCAAGTACTCTATCACTGAGCTATCTAGTGAAATACAGTTGTTCTATGTGGCTCATGCTGGCCTTGAACTTACTCTGTAACCAAGCCACCTTCAATCTCACAATCAGTGTAAGTGCCTTAGCTGAGATTCTCTGTATATACCATCATGCCCGGTTAATGAGGACTATTATTAAATACAGAATGTCTGTTATCCATAAATACAACATGCTTTGTATTTCTACTACATTGAACTTTACAGGAAAGCAAATGGAAGAAAGTTTGTGCTGTTTTGTTCAAAACTTCTCTAAAGCTTTCTCACCATGTCAGAAAATTACATCCTCAACAGCGGTAGCATTCATTTTCCTTTGAAACACTGATATGATACACCTCCCAAATGTGTAGCTGTCAGATCTACATAGACATAGGCATATTTCAGCCCATACTTTATAATGTTGAGTATATAGTCAAATGCCCACAGCCCTTAACTGGAAACACAGCTTGAATTTGTGATTTGCTCCACTAGTAAACATTTGTTTACAGATTGCCTTTCCTACCAATGTGCTTCTCTGCATGTTCTGTAGTTTATACTAGATGCAACCAATCTTTTGCTCAAATTCTTGAGGAAGCAACCTCATTTTTGGTCTCCCTCTACACATTCTTTCTGTATCCTTTTTGTTGGACAAACCACTGCTTTTCCTAGCACCTTCCCTAAAACCTAGGTGTATTTTGTTCCTTTATTTGGTCTTACCGAGCATCTGTGAGCAGACCTAGAGGTGTTGCGGAGGAATATTCTTCTTATACCCTTGCTCTTGTTTTGAGCCTGGTATCAGGCATGCCAGGCTCTTCCTGCAGATCCAGCTGCCCTGCTTGCCAGTCTGTAGAGACTCCTGTGAGGTACAAGCATCATTAGGGCTCACCAGCGTTCTTAGAACATGCTGCTCCCCTCTCATCCATCCCCCAGAATGCTGCCTTACTTCTGTGGCTACGAGGATTTCTGCCACACAGACTTCCATTTGCAATATATTGATGGTTTGGGGGAAATGTCTGTGCTCACTGGTCCTTCTGGGAATGCCCAGAAACAAGAATGAAAGGCAAATGTAGTCATAAAAGATAGTCAAGCTTGATAATGAATTCAATCCCATCTCTTACTTTTTAGCAAACTTTGAACCTCAAGTTCTCAACTACAAAAAAGAAATAATAATATCCTTGCATGGGGCCATATGTGCTGGAGATAACACACATGGACTGTAACACACATGGACTTCCTGGACTACGCTTTCAACAGATGGACACAATTACTATTATTTTCACTAGCCTTTAAAATCACCATGTGTATTTATATATTTATACCTCATTTACCCCTACAATATTTTAGAGCACCAAATTCATTAATACTAATAAAGTAATAAACAACTTGTTTTACAGAATTTATCCCAATCTTTTATAATTGAATTTACTTAGCCATATATCTACCCATTAAGAGTTGCAACCAAGTCTGTCATTTGTACCCAGTAAGACCCTCAGCACATCCAATACCAAGCAGTACCCTGTAAATGTTTACTGAATCCATGAACCTAACCTTAAATTTTTCTATTCCCTTACAGAGGCCACAAGAAGAGAAATATCCTGTCGGGCCATGGCTGTTGGCACTGTTTGTTTTTGTTGTCTGTGGCTCAGGTATGGTATTTCACTGAATTATAGCCCATGTTCTCCACTGTCCTTAAAAGACCATGTTCTTGTCCAGCCTAAATACACAAAGAAGTATTGATTTGGGGTCCGAGTTTATTGCTGCCTTAAACCTTAATCTTAATGGGTTTTCATTTAGTTCCTATTCCAAGTATGGCGAGACAGAGTTGATACACTATCAGAACATAGTCATAAAATGATTACAAGAATTTAAATGTGTTATGTGTGCTGTGAAATTCAGTTGAGTTGTTCTGTGTATATGGAGCCTAAATAGAGCATTTGGAACAGAACATAAAATACCTATCTGCTCAAGATAAACCCGTATTCCAAAGACAGGAAGAGACCTTTTGCCTTAGAGCATTCTACAGAAAGCTCAAACAGAACAAAGCCTTTGACCTAAGCCATGGGTATGGGTCTCTTGCTACACTTGCGAGTTTAAACCCTTGCAAATATATACATACATGTGTACAAGGGACATGAGCAAAGAAAAAGTCACATGCAATTCTGTTTGGTACTGTTACTGGAGCCTTGCCTGGGCTCCTGGTCCCCGGGTACTAAAGCTTCTGCAATACAGATAAATGGATATTACTTCTTCTAAATTCAGTGCATATCCTCAGGGTCCCTCTCCTCATGTGTCATCTCGCTGTTTCTGAGGACAGGGAATGCAAGAAGCCTGTGTCTTCCTGTGTATGCTTAGGCACCCCACCAAGACACACTGCTGCTCCAACAGCAAGAGGAGCCCATCTCTACTGAGGGTCCAGCTACTTGAGTTTCACAAGATGGCTTTCCCGAGGGAATGGTAGCTGTGGAGGCAGAAGGTGGAGGGGTTGACATCTGAAGAGCTCAGGGATATCAATATCTTTTGAAATATTTGAAAGAGAACTTTATGTTTCGAGAAGAGAAAATTATCCACTCAAAAAATAAAAATTCTAACCATTGTCAGGTTTTCTGGGGGAAGCTACCCAGTATGTGAGTGTTCTCACCATTTGAATTTGTTCTCCCAATCCCTGAATGTTTCCAAGAATGGGCTGCCTACTTCACAAAGAAGCAGAAAGCCTGTTCCTGGCCAGGTGCCACGGTGCATGTCTGTAATGCCAGTTCTTGGGTAGCTAAGATGGGAGGACCATCATTTTGAGGCTAGCTTTGGGCTATCCAGAAAGTTCTAGGTCAACATTGGATGCACAGTGAGACCCTGTCTCAAGAACAAAACAAAGCAAAACAAAAAACCCAAAATCAAATCCTCTATGCCTGCTCTCTTCAAAAACATGCAGACATTTTTAATATGTGTGTCTGGTAGATCCTTCTTCAGCCTGAATTCGCCTGGCTGACTCAACCTTGCTTTAAAAGATGTGTACTCAGTGACTCTCCCACAGCACAGCATTGGCCACTTCAGAAGCTAGCCTAGAATTGTTGTGACCACTGGGGCAGTAGGATTGTCACCGCGCTTGATTGTGCTGCTCTGCCTCTGTTATCGTGACCCGAGTGTTGGGTTTAACCCTCATGCCTTTCTGTGTGACCCTATCAGCCATCAGGCCCCGTCCAATCTTTCTTCACAGTAGTTTCTACAAGAGGGAACAGGATGTGCCATGGGCCCAGAGGCACCACAAGCCTCATCACAGTAGCCCAGGTCCCTGTTGCCCAGGTCCTAAGTAAATACTAGCTAATGTTTCTTTTCTAGGTTTTTAGTAAGGACATTGCAGTCCTCCGATATGTTTGCCTGGGAGCATTCTGTTTGGCTTCTTTTCTCATAAACATCACATTTCTGTGACACGCTTCTTAACTTTTCCATGAGTTTGTCAGGCCCCTAGGGTGCGGACCTCTAAGGAAGTCCTAAAGCTTCGGACCAAAGTAGCTCAGAGAACAGACCACTTACTCTACCCATCCATCTCCCCCACCTTTTCTTCCTTGGGTGTGTGTGTGTGTGTGTGTAAGATAAAACCCAAAGCCGCCTCCATGCTAGACATTTTCCTACTGTGTTATCTACTCACCCTTCCACTCTTCTTATAGCATCTCAGTCTCTCTAGCTAGACCTTTTTGTTTCTCCAGGCAGGTGTCCTGTGGGAGCTAAGATGCCTTAATGCTTCTGTCCCCTCTTAACCTGCTGCCATTGTTCCAAGGCAGTGGGCTCATCTCTTTTCCAAGTTACAACTGAAAATAGCATGCACATCACCCCATGCCACCCCACGCCGCTTCTCCTTTAACAGCCTTAGTATTGTTTTTATACACCTCAGTTGGCCACTGTTTTCGGTGACGTATCACTCCTCCCGTTTGTCCTTGTACCTGTCCCTTCAGACCTGCCCCCCCCCCCAGCCAGCTCTCCAGGATGGGGCAGTTCATCTTGCTGAACCTTTCCCCTCTTTTAGGGCCATGGGCTACAGCTCCCACCCCTCTGCCCTCTCCATTTGAAAAATGTGAATTGTCAAGTGCAGCCCATGCATTACTCTTCTGCTTTAGTGGTGAGCCTTCCTATGGAACTAGAACGCTAGAAACCCTCATCCCTGGAGTGTCTGGCCAGTTCCTGTTCTCAAACCCAGCTCAGAGAAGATGTCCCCTTCATGCCTCACTGCATCACAGACAAAAGCATCCCCTGCTGTTCTTGCATGCAAGGCTCACACAATGTACACTAGAGCTTCCCCAAGGAGCCCCACACCTCTGCACCCTCTCTCCATCCTGTCTCTTCTTCAAACATGATATACCCCTTGTGTAGGCAAAAGCTTTGCCCTACCAAGTATCAGAGATAGCGGACAGGTCCTGTTGCCATCTATGAGCTTGTGTATTGAGTTTCTCTTATTTTGTATATTTTCATAAAGTTGCTGAGGACACGGCAACATATGAATAAAGATATTGATAATCTATTCTGATGTCTTGGAAGTCTCATGGCTTTCATTCCTTTATTTTATTGGCCCACTTTCCTAGATGTTGATTGGTTGAGCAAAGTGCCCTTTTCAGAAATAGTCTCACATGGTAAATAAATATTCAGATCAGGCAAATAAACAGACATTTTCCTTCTTCTTCTTCCGCTTCCTCCTCCTCCTCGGCCTCCTCCTTTTTCTTCTTCTCCCTCCTCCTTTTCCCTCACTGTAGTCTGAGAGAGAATTGGGACCATATGCTCACTGGTCAGTCGTCAGCCTTGCTCCGCTATGTGGAAAAGCAGGTTAACAAATCTATGAAAGTCCCACAGTGCTTCTCAGCATCCCTCCAGTGGCCTCCCCCCAAAGGCTTCAGCACAGACCCACATTCAGGAGATGCCATCCCCACGCTGAGAAGTCAGGTGAAGCCCCTGGGGACTGCCTGAGGCCACCAACTCCCAGTCTGCCAACCCTGATCTTGCTTCTTGCACGGGTCCTTGGCTACAACCTCTAACCTTGAAGAAAGGCACTTGTGAAGGTTGCTAAGTGCATCTACAGACTAAGTCAATCTCCACTTTCTGTGACTGCGAAAGTAAGTCTGCCCCCAGTAAGAGGCCTCAGAGAGGAGAGGAGCATCTGCAGATATAAGAGTTCAAAGCCTGGATCCTCTGTAGCCAGATGAATAATTCTGGACTTGTTAGTACACTCTCCGTGTTGCTTTTCTTGTTGAGAAGATGGAGATACGAGCCAAGGTTCATGCCTGCAATTCCAGCACTTACTCAAGAGGCTGAGGCAGGAAGATCACGAGTTTGAGGCTATTCTGGAATATGTAGCAAGACCCTGACTCAAAGCGGGGGTGGAGGGAAGCAGTCTACTGTAGGTGGTGAATGGTTCTGGGGATCTGGTGTATGACAAGCCCAAACCTGCCATCATCTATCACAAATACAGGTGTTACAGTCCTTGAGAAGTTCCCAAAAGACCACCAGTCACAATGCATTCAGCAAGAGTGTTCATTATGCCACATGCATATGGGGGTCGAAAATCTATACAAAATGGCGACCACCCTGAGAGGCACATGTAAGCTCCTTTTAAGCACAGCTACAGGGATTTTAAAAGCAGTGTGATCATTCTGCTTTGGATTGGTCTATGCAAGTTGCAATCATATTAGTACATTTCTAGTTGGTTAGGACTAGCGGGGTGGGGCAAGGCTATAGCTTTTCCATTCTTGGGCAAGTCTGGACAAGTCCCAGGCTTCGTCCCTATTTGGTTATCAACTGTGTGCATGTTTGGGGGAGGGGAGGGGGTTGGCCCAGGCCTAATATGTGCAGGAAATGAGGCCTAGTTCATCACTGAGCTATCGGAGGTCTGTCCTGATATTTGCCTGGCCCTCTCACCAGCACGTCATAGGAATGTCAGTCCAGTTATGGATGCCTAGGTTTACATCACTTCCTCTCAAGGAGGGTGAATGAGAGCCATTCTCAACACTAACCCTGTTTCCTCATGTGATAAAATATAAGCACCATCCCCACCCAAGAGGAAGGAAGTACCACCATACAAACCAGCCTCAGAAAATAGTGGTTTATACTTCAAACTGAACATAAAAAACTGTGTTTCATTTCCTTAAAGTATTGCTAATACATTCCCATTTTGTGCCATTTTTCCTTGTGAAATTCAGAACAGTAGGAATCATGTATTCTTTTGAGAATACTATTGCCCAACAGGGACATTTGTGGTCCATTTCCCGCTTTTCTAAGTGCTGTTTAATGTCATAGCTAGCTTTATATTTATTAATGTTATATAGATTATGTCTGAGATGGAAAGCTTATTTCTCAATCAAATACCTGCTCTTAGTCCTGGATTTGGAAGTACTGCTGAACTGGCTGGATTTGTTTCTCTCTACTTAATCTCTTCAGATCCAGGCTCCTATTGAAGCCTAAGGAATTCAAGTGCCCTGCAGGAGACTGTACCCCACTCTCTTCCCTTTCTCTGTCTTCCCCCCCCCCCATGATGAGGCCTCTTTGCAGATAAGCATCTCCTGGAACAGTCTTGGCTTTCAAAATCTCCTCCACTGGAGAGTGGTTCATAGCGTCAGAGGACAAGTTTATCTCAGGATTCAGAGGCAAACATCATCTGGAATGTCTG